AAGTCCCCTCGCTCTCCTTAATCACTCCAAGGCGAAATATTGCATCCAGTTCCGCATACATGGCTGCTTGCTTTTCCGCTAAAATAGGTATTTTAGGTAAAATAGGCTGAAATTGTGGCTAAAATTAACCGGCGTTGTCCCATTATCTAGTTCCATCCGATATTTCGTCAAGGGCGTTTTGCCTAGGCAGTTCTTCTCATATGACAGAAAGAATTGTCGTACTTGGGTCAACTGCGCTCCTTGTGTCACCGCTCAAGTTGGGGTGGATCCGATCTCGTTTTATCACTCGATCCTAACTTACCTACCTACCTGCATAACTGAGATCTCTTGAATTTATGACCCATGTTGTCCCTTATGTTGTGCCCCGTCAATTTTTGTCTGGTATCAGTCGCCATCCCACCAAGTTGATCCTCGCCGTTAATCCGGGCCTCATTGAAACACCCATGTTTATGTTTGGGGTGAAAGTTTGGTTTGGTCTACATGGTCAGGAATCCACAATATGTTTATTTTCTGGTTCTAGCTTTGTTACAAGTGATCTGATTTTGTTTGAGTAAAAGTTGTAATTGTTGGTGTTTGCTTTGGAGTCAGTTGCTGAGAGGGAGTCAGAGCAAATCATGAATTTACCCCTCAAACTTTTGACATGATCAATTGCTTCTTGGATGGCTATTATTGCGGCAGAGAGTACTGATAGGTATGGAGGAAGCATACCATATTTTATAATGTGGTTTTCTGTTGTTACTGCGTAAGATAGTGTGTAATTTTTTTTTGATCCGTCTGTGAATATAAACTTGTATGATTTGTGTCAGTCTTTGATATGCTCGTATATTTTTCGATATGTGTCTGGGGATGTTGAATGCTTCTTATGGATTCTGAACGTTGTATCTATGAGATTGGGGATCCCCTAGGGTGGATTTAATTTTTGTAGTTTTTGTGGTTGGTATGGTTTTAGCTCTATTGAGAGAATATTGGACTCGTTGATTAAGTTAGATATGGGGGTTGTTCGGTAGGCTCCAAGGGCCAGTCGGAGTGCAGCATTGAACGCGGTCTTTAATTTGTTTAAGGTGCTTTTGGGTGAGTGTCCGTAAAGGAACAAATCGTATTCTAGCTAAATGTTGACCGTTGGTGTGGTATCGTAATTAAATTGATGGCTGGATAAGCATTTTGTTACATTTAGTTTTTGGTGGAGTGAGGGTAAGAGTGAGTTTATGCGTGTGCTCCATTTGTATTTGTTGTTAATTGTTAATACTAGGATTTTAAGCGAGATGACGGTAGGTTTTTGTATTTTTTTGCTGGTTGTTGTAAGTGCAATTGCGTTTTATTCAAATGAGCACCAAGTGTTTATATTATTTAAAATTTAGTCTAAGTTGAGGTTTTTGTTTTCTAGGAAATTTATTATGAGGAAAAAAATATTGGGCGTATGCGTAAAAAAAAATGCGTAAAAGCTTTTTGTAAGCTATAAAGAATAATATTACCGATATAGGTGATCCTTAGGGGATACCATTAAATAGGGAAGGAAAGTTAGATATGTGTGATCCTACACGGAAAATTATTTTCCTATTGAGCATAAGTTTTTTATTTAATTTGGTTTTTTTGGGCCTAGTTTCCACTCTTGGAGCCGGTCTGTTATGGTGTGCACCCCTACTCGATTGAAGGGTCTTGAGAAGTAAGAATGATGAGCGATGTGTGTATTGTTGACTTCGTTATGAAAATCGAAGTCGATTTTCAGCCGAATTGGTTTTCATTAAGGAGTTTATTCTCGTCACAAACCACCATAATCTTTTGGCAACTATCCTGGCGAGAGTTTTTGCAAGACAGCAGTTGAGGGATAAGGGTCTGTATGAACTTTTTTTTCTTTTCTCAGTTTTTGGCTTGAGGATCGGTAGGATGAGGCTAGTTTGTCTGTCTGTCTAGAACTGTCTAGAATTTTGTTGAAATGGTTATTTTTATTCTGTTTTTTTTTCTGTTCTATGGTATGGTCTTTCCCTCTATGGTTTTGGCTGTTGGGCAGGGGGTGTAGTTGTATGTGTTCGGAACTCCCCTGAGAAGTTCCGGTCGCTAAAAAGCTTTGAGAAATGTCGGGCAAATATATTGGCGATTTCGTGGGTAGAAGTTGTTGTGGTGTTATTTTCGGTATTTAGTATTGCATGGATTTGATTTGTCCGCAAAAGCGTCTTATATTACCCCATATTTTAATTTTGGTGTTAACGGATCTATATTGGATGTAAAGAAGTTTGGTGCTTCATTTTATTTATTTATTTGTCTGTATTTGGCATTCTTGCGTCTGTAATCTGTGATGTTTTGCAGGTTTATGTTGCGACTTCAGTGTTCCAAGTTAATTGTTTTTCTTTTTTGAATTGTAAAAGCTAAAATTTTATTCCACCAGGGAACCTTATATGGTTTAGTATTTGGTGATTTTTGTGGGATAGAGCTGTTTGTGGGATAGAACACTATGCAAAAAGATTCCGTTGATTTGGGCGGCCTCTTTGCTTACATTTTCTGAGGCGGCAAAATTGGCATCGTGTTCGTGTATGAGGGTAGAGTACTGGTCCCAATTAGCATTTGTACACCCTTGCAGAGGGTATTTTAATTTTGGTCAAAAGTGTGCAACGCAGTGAAGGAGACATCTCCGACCCTATAAAGTATGACCCAACTTTCATGTTTTTGAAGATAGAAATATGGAAAATTGTACAGATTATATTTTTTGTCAGTTAATTCGGCCTACCAAATTTTATCACGATCGGCCGACTATGTCCTATAGCTGCCTTATAACTGAACGATCGGAAATGATATTTGGTTGAAATACCAATTTTGGTTTTTCTGAAGATAGAAGCTTGGGAATTTTTTTTAGATGTTTTATTGTAATTAATAGGTTTTATTTATTATATTTTATTTATTATGATATCCTCATAAGGATCTTGCGATATATATCCGGTTGTAACTGCAAGGGTATATCAACTTCAGCTCCACCCGAAGTTAGCTTTCAGTTTTTGTTATAAATGTCTTGTTTCTGATCCTAACTACTGCCCAAAAGGATGTACTCTTAAAATCTATAATGCTTAAAAATTTTAAGAAGCAGGCAAAACTTTTCAAAACTGGAGCTTAATGAGGAGGCTTGTCCAGGCTTATAATGTTGAATAATTTATACATAATGGGATCGGAGTTGAATCCATTTCCCTGTTCTAAAATAACCGGAGATAAATATGACCAGATTTTTTTGTAGACTTTCGAACTTTTTTCAGATCCAAGCAGTTACCTTTCGAGGCCCTTTCTGGAAGGTATCGATAGTGGTCGCTGTCGATATTCGACGAGAGTAAATTTTAAACCATCGATAGTGTCGAAAGCACCATCGATAGTGTCGATAGCACCATCGATAGTCGTCGATACTATCGCCGGACATAAACAACAATTTTTTATAACTTAAACTTTGTTAAGTTAACTTAAAAATAGTACTATCTAACTTATATTATGTAATTAGTATATTTAACTAATTACTTTAGTAAATTCAGTTATTTTGCATATTTTAAGTATTTTTAAGTAAACAATTGAACTTTTTTGAGTTTTTAAAATAAATGTTAAACTTTAATATCAATTTCTAAGTCTAATAATATTTCTTTGAAAAATTCTTAACGTATTTAATTCTTAACTGATCTTTTTTTTTTTTTTTTTTTACCGGTCTTTTAGAATTTGGGAATGGCTTGTGCATCAATAAGAGCATCAGTTAGCATTCCTGTATTCATCATAAAGCTTAGAGGCCCAGACGACCGAGGGGCGCTCAAGAAACGATTTGTTAGAATATATTAAGTTATTTGTTAAATATTAAGCTAAGAGGAGTTAGTAAGGAAATTTAAAATTCTATATTTTAAGTTAGAGGGACAGGAAAGAGATGTAATAGAGTAGAGACCATTGTAGTTCGAACATAATACCCTAAAAGGGTCATGCAGTGCATATGTCGAACTACAACGGCTAAGGAACAGAGGACTAAAGTTTCGAGTCCTTCTATTAGGAATGTTAAAATTTAAGCGTGTTAGTAAATGCTGACTATCTACATCCCCGTTAATAAGGTTATGCAGAAAAACTACACCGAGCATTGTCCTACGATTTGTTAAGCTAGGTAAGTTTATGAGTAAGAGTCTACTACTATAAGATGGAAGTTAAAGATTTGCATCCCAGTTTAGACCTCTAAGTGAAAAAGTTAGGAAATTCTTTTGTACGGATTCTGTGCGGTCCTGATGTACTCCATATTGGGGACTCCAGACACATGAACCGTACTCCAGTATAGGACGGACCAAAGAAATGAATAGTGTTTTGGTTATATAGGGGTCATTAAATTCTTTTGACCACCTTTTGATAAAACCACCTTTTGATAAATTATTAACCATTAAGGAAATATGGTCGGCAAATTTAAGTTTGATGTCTAATAAGATGCCGAGATCATTAACCTGGGTTATCTTAACATATTAAAAGTTCCTTTTTTGAGGAATTTTTATTTGTAATTTCTGCTTTTATGGTAAACAAATATATATCGCTCGATCAACCAAGAATAATGCAAGAACCCCACATGGAGGCTTTGGTAATTTGAGGGTATAATTTTTCCTGGAAAATTATTTATTTCTTAACAGTAAGTCAAAAAACAATAATTCAAGTAGGGCAGCTAACACGCTGACCCAGAAACAAAAAACCTAACACTAACAGGCGATAAGCTATTATGAATTTAAGCTACACCCCGCCCCATCTGCACAAAAGATACTTGTTATGCATGGGATCCTTCCGCCTTTTATCCCAAGACGATAGATTCTGTCGCTCTACATTTTGCCGCGGCTAGACATTCAGAACCAGAATGGAAAACCTCTTCGCGTCTCACTTCGTTTTCCAACACTGTAGTAGCTTTCAACACTCAAAGTTATCAACTGTGCAGCTAGAGCCTGTGACACTCCATTTAAAAAGGTAGAAAATTTATTCAAGTAGAAATAAATTAAAAGAAAAATCATCGTAGGAGCAAAATGGGGCTAATTGGATTTGACTTTGTGAATGTAGAACAGCTGTTATGCACTCCTCGAGTGGGACACGGTCAGCGATTGGAGCGGAGTGCCTTGGGCTTCTTCAGCGTGGACCGAAATCATAAATTTTATAATGACGAGAGCCAGTTGAGGATCATCAAAATGCCGGGGCCGATGAGCTTCCCCCTGAACGTGGCCTTGCGGGTCGATCCACAATACTCAAAGTTGTTCAAGCACTTCTACGGGGACTACTTGGACCCCCTGCTCCAATACATGATTGCCAACCCGACGGGCTTCTTCGCCGCCAATCCGTACGGCCCAGGACTGCTGGCAAAGGTCCCTCTCATCACCCAAATGGAGGTTATCCAGGAGTTGATGTGCACGCCGTACAACCGCACTGAAAACTGGCGGATCGTGGGCAGTCGATACAGGAACACATCCTATATGTGTATCGAGGTTCCTGGAGGGCCTATAAACCCAAACCAACAAAGGACAAATAATTTCGAGGCTGTACTCAAGCTACTCATGCACCACGGGGGGGAGCTGTTTTTGCCGAATCGCCTGCAATGTACTGCACAGTACAAAAATGTGTTTCTCGGCGAACTGGACGAGGAATTATCAATATTATATGATGCACCAATGGACGGAGCTTATGTCCTTAACAATCAGTAAGTACCATCAGTAAGATCCTCCAAGTCCAGCATGCAAGTAGTCAATCGTTCCATTTCAGCGCCGACTCGCCTCTCACAACATTGTCGAACCTGCGGTTCATGGACTTCAGGGTGGGAAGGTGTGTGCTCGACGACTCCGGCCGCCACACCTCGGCCTGCTACGGCCCCATGGAGGCACTCAGCTGGTGGTCGGAGTGCTACCTCAAGAAAATGAAGCAGATCTATGTCGGCTGTGGCTATCCAGTAGGGCTTGTGGACTGCCTAAAAGAAGTGACGGCCTCCAGTCTTATTCCAGAGAACGTAAGAAAGATTATTTTTAATTTTGATACCAACCTGACCATAATTTTACAGCGAAGTGTCTGGTCGCCGTCTATTTGTCACAAGTTCCTTGACTACACGCTGCGCAAAATGATGGACGAAATGGAAGGGACGGACGACCCGTGCGTCACCTTTGAGTTCAATTATGTCGCTGAGAAGCGCAAGATATATGTCAGGAAGGAAGCTGGCAATCGCAGATGCCCGCTCTTGCCTCAGTGGTATATCCGGATGATGGAGAAAGACCCCGAGTGATTCAGAATACTTTAATTTTGTTTGCCAACTTGTTGACTGAGCCACTTTAATTATTGTTTTGGATTGAGTTATTGTTAGCAAATGTATATTGTTCCATGATAAATTACACCCCAACTTTACACCCCAAATTTCACCTCAGAACTGACTCGCCGAAGACGAGGGCGAAACATAATGCTGTCCCAACCAAGAACATTAAATTCAAATGCGAATGCGAAAATAATTCCAATTAATTGACCAAAGTAGTTGACACTTCTAATGTGTCATTTATATTTCAGAGTCTTCTCCTTGGTCTTGGACGTAGTTTCGAACATATTTTTAGGAGCTCTTATTCAATTTGAAAAAATTGTAAGTTGTGTTCGATTTTGCAGATCCTATCATTTTGGTCAAGGAGACCAAATTCTAATTCTCATTCTCATCACAAATTTAAAGCGAAATGGCATATGGTATTTACTTAAAATTTGATATAATAAATTAGATTTTGGCCAAATACCTTCTTCTCATGGTCTCGACCAATATCTGTTTTTTTTGGCTAGATCGGTTAACATTTCTCGAAACCACTTATGAATATACAGTTCCTAAAAACTGTTAAAAAAAAGGAAAAAAAAGTAGGTCCACTTTAAATCGCAACCGGCTGATAATCGTCAAAATCTAGGGGAATCTGGGGATATACCATTAAGTGTGTCATAAAGTAGCTATTTTTGTTTTCTATTTTCCTAGTCATATAATTCTACTACTCAAAGATTGTTTGACTTTTTTGGGAATGTGTATAATATTATAATATAATATATATATATAATATATATTAACTTACACGAAGTCCTTACAAAAACCAAATCTAAAAATGTGGAATTCCCTTAGGTTTTTTAGGTAAATACAAACCTAACTCTTTTACCCTTTTTTTCTGAAAGAAAAGGATGGTTAACTTCGGGCGGAGTGAAATTGAAATACCCTTACTGTTAAGATCGGATATATGTACATACATCACAAATATCACTGTTTGATCTGAATAAATGATATACCCAACAAAAGGTATTGTCTAATTAAATCAATTTTGCCAAAACATTTGCCGAAAGTCTATTAGTTTGGGAGAAATTTGCGTAAATGTGAAATAATTTTGATAAACTAAACAGGGGCTAGTGGCGACATTGGAGTCTCCAGACAAAATATTTATCCCGAATAACATTTTAATTTTGAATACGTAGTTGATTCGCGCCTCGGGATGATTGAGGATGATGATTGATCAATCCAACTTTTTGTTGATAAGTTGTTCTGAAATTGAATATATTAGTTACTCAAATAAAATCAACATTTGTATTAAAATTATTCAAAATACGTTGAGATAACGTATAAAAGATTATGTATAAAGATTTGTACACGAGGAAGGAACCGAAGAGGAGGCAAAACGAGCCTGGAACCGTAACGGGACATTTCCAGTAACGGGAGCTAAATTTGCTATAAAAGTGGAGCCGTGGGAGGTGCACGGTCTTTACAAAGAAACATGTCTAACACGTCAAATCCTTCGATAGTTGTCTCGTCCGAAGAGAGCGACCTGAAAGCGAGGGGCCTGGTACAGGAGCGACGCAGGAGCGAGGGGCTGGACCTGCGCCGGGGCATAGAGGAGGACCGCCGGCGGGTGGCCGTAATGAAGTCGGTCGTGGACATGGCCGGCACAAGGGCCAAATTGGCGAGAACCGTTTGGCAGAAGAACGCTCGGGAGTTGAAAGACCGGAAGAAGAGCGGGCGTGAACGGGCCATGAAGGTGCAATGGGGAGGCGGCTGGAGCAGCGGCGGCCACGGCAGGCGGTGGAATGGGTTAAGAAGAAGGCGGTCGCCGAAGAAGCAACGCGACGGGCGACCCCGTGGACCCAGATATCGCCAACCCCACGCCCAAGGACGGAGCCTGAGGAAGACGAACCCTGGGCAAAGGGGCCATGGATATGGCCGGCGCCAAAGAGGCCAAAGAGGCGCTCGGCTGCCAAAATTTCGTGCCCGGAGAAGCGACCGGTGATGCCCGTTTTGATGAGATCGGTTTCGTCCGGGGCGAGAAGGACGTCCCGAAGGAGAGGTGGCCAACGGAGCTGAAAAGACGTATATACATAGGCTACGCTGGATACCGCGCATACGCGCTAATGCAAGGATTCTGAGTGCCTGTCGCCCCCGCCCCCGCTTGTTTGAGCTTATAGTTTGTAGTTTGAGCTTATACTTGCAATGTTTTAATACCCGGTTCTCGTAGAGAACAAGGGTATGACAGCCTGTTGTGTTTAACGTGAGCACCTTCCATGATGGCTCAATCTCACGGCCCCATTTGGCTTGGGATATGAAACAATGCGTCAATCAGCGGCCCTTTAGAACCATGTTCCGCCGGATACCGGCACTCAGGCCAGACTGTTCTAGGCATGGCTTATATCCTAGGTTGAAGATACTTTTTCCGGTCAGTGGGATCCTGGCACCCGGTTGTATAACGCAACTCCACGTCGAACCCGAAGGCCGAACCCCATTTGGGAATTAAACCACAACCACCACGTAGCTCCTTAAGGGCCTTCAACCATAGCCAGGACGGAACAAGTTCCGAGGGCTCTGGCTCCAGTGGTACCAGAAATTATCACAGCCGATCAGGCGCTGTGCCAACAAGGAAACTTCCAATTTTGACTCCAGAACAGTCATGGGTTGGTGACCCAGGATAAAGTATAGCATAGCTGCTTGGAATAGCATTATGAAACGGTGGGGTTCGTCACTCCCAGTTTCAGCTACCATAAAGCGCGGGCACTGGGCACCCCAGGCGTTGGGCGAAAACTCAAATAGCACCTATTCAATCGATCCTGATTCACACACCATTCACCCCCTAACACCCCTCCGCATCCACAAATCGACGACTGAATACGGCTCTCGCAAACACATTCAACCTATCAACCATGTCGCTAGTGGAGAGCACCAAAGTCCGGTCGGTCGACACAAAACGAGTGTCGCCCATTCCCACTTCCATCCCACCGAACTTGCCAGTCCGATAGGACTCACTCACTCAACAAAGCCTGCCATTCATTAGGCAGCCCCTTCTTGAGCTTGTAGCTTACGGCTCTACGCCGTATCTCCGGGTAAAGGGGAACTGCTCCAAACAACATTTGCATTGCAACAAATAAGCCACTGTATAGTGCAGACAGCTCTCCTGCTGAGGCGCTATTCATTCTTTCAAACTTCGCGAAATTTCCCAATCGCACCGACCAACCGTTCTTCAAACTGGCATGGTGATAACCGTTCCCCAACGGTCATGCCCAGGTACTTCACCTGATTCACATACCTTATGCTGATCCCGTCAAGCCTGACAGTCGGAGGCCATAATGCCCCGCGACCTCGACTGGACCAAGATGCCTTTCAGAAACATTGTCGCATTCTTGTCCAGTGCCAGACCTACACCCACACTGCTGCCCCACTGGCCAACAAGGCTCAAGCACTCTGTGGCGCTTGCCTCAATCCTCGAGCGCGTCTGGCCCTCAATCAAGATGAGCAAGTCGTCCGCATACGCACAACATTTACATACCTGCTCGAGCTGTCGCTGCAGGGGATTCATCCTAAGATTCCATATAAATGGACCACGGATGGAGTCCTGTGGACAATCACGAGCCACATCAATACTCACAACCTCATTCACCCCCATCACACATGCACTACGTCCCAAAAAGTAACTCTTTCACGTCCCGGCACCCACACTCGTTCAACCTCTGAATCACCCTAGCCCAACCCAGGTAATAAAAAGGCCCCTTGAAATCCACAAAACACCGAGGACGTACTTGGAGTTGCTGGATCTCACAGACTGCTTGACATACCTCCAAGCGTCCTCCACACTCTTTCTTTCCCGGAAGCCAAACTGCCTATGAAACATCTTGCTCTCCAGACTCTCCTGCAGCCGTTCCACCAGCATTGGCTCCAGAACTTGGAACATAGAACTTGGCTCCAGAACTGGAACAAGACTGATACCTTGAAAGGATCGCGGATTGCTCCGGTCCCTATCGGGTGACTTAAGGAGCACACTCACCCTTGAGTTCTGCGACCCCTCTGGAAAAAATTCGGACAGGCCACACAAAACCCAGTTCCTATTCCTGTCACACTCTTGCAGAATTTTTTAAACACGACCTCGTGCCTCCCAAACATGTTATCATTCGCACTCGTAACCCATTCCCACTCGTCACACATGCACCTTGCTCATCTTGCACATTCATAGCTCAGAAGGTGCTAAACGGGACTTGGGTCGCCGCTTCTCTCACATAATACCCATGAAGGTCCTGACTCGCTCCGCCACACATAAACCATAAGACTCGCATCCAGGGCCACGTAATGGGCCACCCCAATCTTAATCGGATTATGATCACTCACACTCTCATTGCAGACTCATTAACAAGAGTAACATCGATGTCACTCCTCCCCAACGGATCATCGAATGGGTACCGCCCACTCGGCTCGTTCACAACCTGCACCTCTTGGGTGATCACCCATTTGACCAGTGTCTCACCTTGCGCGTAGTTTGGATGGCCAGATCTTACTAAACCACAGTAGGGGGAAGCGTTCGTGTCAAGACCTAGGATGACAGGATTACTACTCACTGGGAGTAGTACCGCATCCATGTACTGAAGGTACGGGTTTATAGACTTGGAATACTTGCAATGCATACTCACGACAAACAACCTGCCAAAAGAACCCTTTACCCCCACACATACATCCCAATCGGTTGGGGTCGTTCACAACTACTGCGGCATGGCACCTGTCAGGAAATACCCGCGTTTCTGCGGGCAAACCACCTGCAACAGAACCACGACGCAGTCCCTCTCACAATCCCACTTTGCAATTCACTTTACATTTAATTTTCAGGAGCCGAGACATGTTAGTGTCTGGAATTCACCCTCGCCAAGACAGGGCTATAAATCGGGCAACTCGCTTAGAGCATATTATACCCCGACGGCAACCCCTTAAAGCGGCAGCTCCGGCAGTCCACTATTCCAATGCCTATC